GTCATTGACAAAAAAGGCTTTTGTACAAAGTATTAGATAAATTTCTCTTCATGCGTTCAATACTTTTTCCCTGTGCAATTCCACATTATTACAAATAACTTCATTTCTGGACATTTATGGTTTGATTTCTTTGTATGTATGGATCACTTGGGTTGTTACCGACATCTGGTGAAAATTTTATGTCATTAGTACCTCTAGTAATATATTTACTGAGAAAAATGGTGACGTGTTCAATACTTATTTTACCCGCTGTATTTGTGTGTGTTTTTTCTGCTTCACATTGTAGTCATAGCTCAGTTTTTCTTTAGTATTTTAAAATGTTTTCATCCCTAGCAATGAGGAGGATGTAACGGCTGTGACAGACAGCAGCGGGAACACGCTGCGCATTCGTAGAGACACCAACAGGATGCCTGTCCGTGTGGTCGCTCCTGATAATCAGGTGACAAACACAGGCTTTCTGTCACTTATAGAACAATGCAGACTTCTGGAGTGTGAATATAAACTTCTAATCTGTTTGTTTTGTGATTATAGGTCATTTGGCTGACCATAGGGACTAACGGAGGTCTAAAGTCTCTGACAGCTCAGGGCCAGGAGCTGGTTTTATTTACCTACCATGGAAACAGTGGATTACTGGCAACAAAAAGCCTGCAGATTGGCTGGACTACGTTTTATGAGTGAGGAGAATTCTGTTTCATGTGAATTCATTCAGTCGTTTCATTTTGAGACAAGGAGGTAGCGTGGGTTTCATGACTCCAACCAGAGAATTATCTGTGAAAGGATGAATGCTGAGCTCTGAAACATTCACTGACGATTGCAATGAAACGCTTCAGTGAAAAGAGACAGAAAACAGCTGAGAGAAGAAAAACACTAGCTAAAAAATTAAAATAAGTATATTTTTAATTTAGCTAAAAGTCAAAAACACTAATTAAAAACTAAAGGAAACAAATTTTTTTTGCAACAAAATCTGACACAGATATGAGTGTTGTGCATTATTTGAAGTGAACTCATTACAGCACTGGTTCCTAACAGTCCATTTGTCCACCTGCTGTGCTGGTGTTGTCCCTGTAGCTACGACAGTGAGGGCCGTCTGACAAACGTGACCTTCCCCACTGGAGTGGTCACCAACCTGCATGGAGACATGTCATCTGGAGCTGTTACAGTCGACATAGAGACATCAGGGAGGGATGAGGATGTTTCCATCACTACAAACCTGTCATCTATAGAGTCCTTCTACACTTTGGTGCAGGGTAGGTTTCTGACATGACTACATAAAGAATAGCAGCACTTGAGATATTTAATTAGACATTAGCTCTTGCTTTTCCACTGATCTTCTGTTTGTTTGGGTTTTTTGTTGATTTATGTGTTGTCAATGCATAAAAACAACAGAGCCAAATCATCATACAGTTTGTTACTATTTGCTAATTAGTTTCTGACCTAACCTAGTTTTTGAGAATGTCTGAGCTGAAGGTCTGATTAATGTTTAGATCATTTCCAAACAACGACTCTATTTATTACAGAAGAATACCGTATTTTTCGGACTATAAGCCGCACCCGCCATTTTTAAAAAAAATCCACAAACATTAACATATAAGCCGCACCGGACTATAAGCCGCACCCGCCATTTAAAAAAAAAAAACATCCGCCAACATTAACATATAAGCCGCACCGGACTATAAGCCGCACCCCCAACATAAAAAAACAGTACACCCAAATTTGTCATCAAAAAAGTGAATTCAACATCAAAACATAAAAAGCAAACCTTTAGGAATTAAAGTTCGGAGGAATACGATTCATTTAACTGACCTTATTTTGGTCCAACAAAACATCTCATTCATCTTCCTCCGGTGCACTGAAACC